CACACAAAGGCTTGAACTATGGCCGTGGCGGGCGCGCCATGCACCGCCGACGGCGTGTTGCCGTTCTTCGACCGAATCACATAATCTCTCGGCAATTCGAATTTAAATGAATTTAAACATGACCTGCTGAACATGATAACTCATAATGGTCGAAGGTTTAACTTAACATGCAATGACATGCGAGAGCGGTCCGTGGTGCGCACTAAGTGTGCGACCACACCTCTTCGACCAAACTCCCACAAACATGACTAAATTCATCCGAACATTTAAATTAAACTAAACATGATATTGTAAATAAAGGCTAAACATGCGAGAATAGTTCGGAGAAAACTAACTTAACATATCGAGCAAGTAGGTACGGCCCGTGGTGCGCTACGTGCGCAACCACGTTACCCTCGGCCGAACACTTCAAACGTGAAATATCATCCTAACATTAAAGCTAATCTAAACATGATATTGCATATAAACGCTAAGCATGCAAGGATGTTCGGAGAATTCGAATAAAATCATAACATGATAATATTAGGCACGGCTAAGGCTACGACTTCTCGCACATAACAAGCATGCATGCCACTAACGGGAAAAATCGAATTAAATAACATGATAGACTCGGTCTACAACATTGGGAGCTTACCTCTTGCAAAGCCCTACGGACTAAACTCTCGCACTCCCGTGCTCTCGGCCGTGGCCCTTCGCGCGTGCGCCTTGCGGTGTTGCGGTGGCTCGGCGTTGCGGTAGCTTGTGGCTTGCGGTACTCTCGGACTTCCGTGCGGGTGGCTCGCGTGCGGTACGGCCGGAACTCTCGGCAATAACCCTCCAATACTCACTAAACTCACACACTCTCGGCACTAAGTATGGAAGGAGAAGGAAAGTGGAGTAAAATCTCCAAAGTCTCCCATTTAATCTAAGGGGCGAATGCAATGGGGAGACATAAGGTCAAAGTCTTGGACACATGGCCATCATGCAAAAAGATGCTAACTCTCCTTGTCTCCATGGAGTCACGTGAAATGCAAGACATGGGGAAAAAGGC